AAGGGTCAACATCATTCTTTTATAGGAAAATATTAAGCAAAAAACAAGCAATTATTTAGTCTCCTATGAAATTATACTCAACCCTAATTTTTGAAGCAAAATTATAAGCAATTGTTAAGCAAACGGTCATTCCCTCTTTAAAATCCTAACTCAATAAATCCAAAATACCAATAAAGCATCCCTTTCATGCTCGTTAATTATTCGACCTTTGAAATATCATTGTTTGCCTTTTTTCACTAATCCTGCTATGACTTTTTTATTCTCCACTTCTTTTACAGTATGATTGATAATAGTTTGAGTCTGGCAATTATGCTTATCACCTAAATATCCCAACACTCCGTTTAAATAAACTAATTCTTGCAAATCCTTTTGAGCCTTGTTAGTTTTCCACCAAAAGGAGGTTTCTCACACCAAAATATCTATTTCCTTATTTTTGACTAGGTTTTCAATGTTTTTGGCTTGTTCCAAGTAGTTTTTGCCCTCAATGCTTCCTACTTCCCAATCCGTTCAATTCTCAAAGTAAAAATAACCCGTTAGGGAAGTCCCCGAAGGGTCTAATGTCAGTATCTTTGGCATATATCTAATTTTCCCTTATCCCCATCCTCTCTTTCTCGTTTAGTATCAGTTCTTTAAGTAGGAAATAGTTTTGGGGTCATTTACAACTAGTCTCAATCATTAGGATACCATATTTTCCATGGAGGAAAACATTGGCAGGCTAATATCAAACTAGTTAATATTTTCCCCAATTCTTTTTCTATAAAAGAATAGGTGGCAACGAAATCAGTTTGGGATAAGAACTTTTTTCTTCACACTTACACCCGTAATAAGCAAAAATAACTAAAATTAGTTATATGGTATATCGCACTTCTTTGTTTTGTGCTAAATGTAAGCAATCAGTAAAAGAAAAAAACATTATCTTCACTCCCGACAAATTAGGTCTCTGTCCCAATTGCTACAATCCCCAACAATTTAAACCATGTTAAAAATTCCTCCTCAATACCAAGAACCTTACAATAAACTCACTCAATTATTTAACCAACCAGGAACCAAAATTATTATTACTGACCGAGGACTTGGCAAAAGTAAAAATGCTGTCTTGTGAATATTAGAGCAAGTAGTTTTGAAAGTAGGAGACCATGCTTTCTTAATGAGAAACTGAGGAGATGATAATCAAAAGATAAAAGAATACTTCAAAAAAATTGTCGATGATTTCTGTTTAATGTGAGAAGGAAAAGAAGTCAAAAGAAAAGATTTTGAAATAAAAGACTTTGAAACTTATTATTTTGGCTTATTATATAAGGGAAAGGTAAGAGTTTATTTTTATACTTTATTTGATGAGGGAGGCAGTAGAGGAAAACACGATTATGGGGCTAAAAGTATGTTTTTGGATGAAGCCATACCAACTCGGAGTGAATTGATTAAGAATAACGGAGGCTGACAACCGAACGAACCTTATAAATTTTCTGAACATGAGAAATCTATCAAAAGAAATAACCCCACTATTGAAAAAGTATTTTTAGGCAATCCCAACTGTTCCTTTTATGAATGCTGATTTTTAGACTACTGACAAAAAGAATTGGAAGAATTTAATAAGTGATATTGGAAAACTAGACCTAGTGATAAGCAAAAATGACGGGAATGAGTGTGGATTAAGCAATGAGAAAAAGAGGGAAAGATTTTATATTTAGAGAAAACAAAAGGAGAAGAAACCGAATTTCCCTCTTATGAGGATGGTAATTGAGATAATTTTTTCACTGGAAAAGAAGAGTTAAAAATAATTGAACCGATAAATGGCTCTCGTCCGTTATATGTTTTTAACCAACCCTAGCAAGAAGTCCCCTTGTTCTATAACTGGGGGATGAATTGCTAAAAATATAATATACTTAAAGTATAAATAAAGGATGAAATGGCCTGATGCAATAAATCAGGGTAAAGTTCTAGTAGAACACTTGCTAGTTGGCAAGAATGGCTCGGTTTGAGCCTTCGGGGAGACTAGGTGATAGCCTTGTCTAGGAACCGAGAAGCCCCCACTTCTATAAGTAGGGGTAGTTCACTAGTTAATTTCTCATGGGCTATACCATCATACTTCTCTACTAATTCTTTGGCTAGTTTATGGGCTAAATCTTTTCTTTGATTAGCCACTTTCTCATGCTGTTTAGCCAAAAGAATTACGGCTTTTTTTCTCCTTTTGCTTCTCTTAACTCGTCGACTAACTCTCCGACCTGCTTTGGCTAATTCTTTTTCACTCTTTCGATAAGTTTTGGGTGCTTCTTTTAATTCCCCGTCCGAAGTAGCCAAAAAGGAAGTTAAGCCTAAATCAATTCCAACTTTTTTACCTGTTTTTGGAAGCAATTTAGGTTCAACTTCACACGAGAAGCAAGCATAATATTTGCCATTTTTGACAATTATCGAACAAGTTTTCACTTCTCCCTCTAATTCTCGGTGGAGTTTGATTTTCACTTTACCAATGCTGGCTAATCTTAATTTACCTTGTTCTAATTTATAACTGTTATTATTTTGGGAGTAGGTGAAACTGTCATATCTCCCAAAAGATTTGAAACGAGGATAACCTGCTTTATCTGTTTTGCTTCTTAATCTCAAAAAGAAGCCTTGAAAAGCCTTTTTAACTCTTTGGGCTACATCTTGGAGAACTTGAGAATAGATGGTTTGGAGATTAGGGTTAGTTTCTTTCAATTTAGGTAAAGAATTTTGTTATTGGGTATAACTGATTTTCTTTTGCTCTTTTTCGTATTTGTCTCTCCTTTCGGCTAGAAAATAATTGTAGAGCCAACGACAAGTTTCTAATATTTTGTTTATGATTTCTCTCTCCTGTCGGTTGGGATACAAACGATATTTATAACTTTTTCTCATGATTTTCTTCTTGACTTTGAATATATTGCTTAACTATTTCTACTGGTGCTCCCCCAGTAGTAAGCAAGCAAAAACTTCGGCTTCAAAAATATTCTTTTCACAATTGCTTCTTAATGGCTGGGTATTCTTTCTTTATTAGCCTAGAACTAGCACTTTTATAAGCATTTATGAACTTGCTTAATTCACTATTGGGATGAGTTCTAAATAGGCAGTGAATATGGTCTCCGTCATGGTTTCATTCGTATAAGTAGATATTGTAATCTTTGGCAATATACTCAAAGATTTCTTTCAGTCTTTGAGAGATAAGGTTGTCAATTACTTTCCTTCGATATTTGATGACTAGAACTAAATGGAACCATAACAAAAAGACTGAATGATTATTATTATCTAAATCTAACAGACTAACCATATATAATATATTTTACGACTGATTACTCTTTTTGCCAATTCATCCCCCAGTTATAGAACAAGGGGACTTCTTGCTAGGGTTGGTTAAATTATTTTTATAATTCGGTGGCATCCCCAAACTAACAGACCAATTACTAGCAAAATAATTATTCCGATTATCCCTCATTTTTTATAGTTAAAATTTGCTTTTTTCTCCAAAAAAATAATGGTTTTTCGATAAGTGGTTTTATGGGATGATGGTGGGGCGGCTCTTGTCAATGGTTCGCAACTAAATGTATAGGATGACGAGTTAAAAAATAACGAACTATAGCAACCGCCCAAACACCTTTTTTTTGAGTTTATTTCATTATTATTATAAAATGTAAAAATCAGAACCATCGTGTGTTCCAACTACAAGTAATTGAAATAAATTGCCCTTTGATTTTAGACAAAAATAAAAATGCCGACCAGCAGCATTTCTGAATATGGTGAAATATATCCTTTAAAATATTTAGAACAACATGTTTAATGTTGTTCTTTAAACTCCTGTTTAAAAAGAACTAAAAATAAGTTTTGTTTCTTTTTCTTCAATAACAGGAGTTTAGATTAATCAAGATGAAAGGCAGCCAACACCTTGCTTGACACCGTCTAACATATGTAATATCATTTCTTGTGAATAGTTTTCTTTGTGTATTTTGTTCCTTTATCAATGGAATTCTTCATTCATTTTCTAATTTCAGAAGAACTAATTCTAAACGATAACAAAAAACAATCAATAATTCGAAAATAAATTCGTATTCTTTTAAATTCTTTTGGTTCTGTTATGAATAATTTTTGAACCAGGACAAAATTAGAAATCTATTTTTCATTTTTTCATTTAAAAATGTAAATAAATATGTAATAGTTAACTATAAATATGTAAAATAAATAAGACAGAACAAAGTCTGATACTCTTAAAATATGAAAAGTATAAAAAACAGAAAAACAGTAGCATCTAATGTTGCTCTATCAACACTAGAAAATAAATTATAAAATATATAATTTGATGTGATTCATGTAAATAATCAAACAACAATAAGATTAAAATACCATTTGCTTTTTTTAATGAACTTCTCAATAATAACAGTTAAATTCATTTTCTTGAAAATTCATTTTTGACTACTACGATCCGGCAGCATGGCCTTTTAAACAATTGATCCTTGTTGAAAATAATAAATAATAAAAGTATCTGAATTAAGATAATTCAAAAACAATTACTGTATTTCATCATGAATATGTTGGGCATTAATAGGATTAAATGCATTCAGGGCGAAGTCAATAAAAAAATATAATTATGAATGAAAAATAAAGCATCTAATGCTCCTCTTTCAATTCCCGTTGAGCAACAAGGATAAAACCCAACGTTATTCCCATGTAGTAATATCAATTCATGTACTATTTTATGAATGCCAAGTCTTCCATGTAATCAGCAATAAAACATTGCTTTCTCGTGATCCACCCACATTTTCTCAAAATTAAATTTAACCAACCCCAGCAAGAAGTCCCCCATCCTCTTTTAGGTGGTGGGATGAATTGCTAAAATTATAATATAGCATAAAGGATGAAATAACTCCATGAGATAAATGGAGATAAAGTTCTCACGAACACTTGCTAGTTGGCAAGAATGGCTCGG